GGCCTTTGAAGGAGCCAAAACAAGCAGTAAACGGCAGCAGCTGCCTTTCCCAAGCCATCCTGTCCCCACTCTGAGCGCTGGCCCCAGAAGGCATCTGCCAGGGAGTGTCAGTCCCCAGAGGTGCAGGAGCAGCTGGGGAAGGGGGACGGTGGCTCTTGCGTCCCCTCCAGGTGATTGGCAAAGGCAGTGAGAAGGCTGACGACAGCTCCATTGACGAGAAGTACCTGATCGCCACCTCGGAGCAGCCCATCGCCGCCCTGCACCGGGACGAGTGGTTGAAACCGGAGGATCTGCCCATCAAGTATGCGGGGCTGTCGACCTGCTTCCGTCAGGAGGTGGGCTCGCATGGCCGCGACACCCGCGGCATCTTCCGCGTCCACCAGTTCGAGAAGGTGAGAGGAGCCGGGGCAGTGTTCCCAATGGGAATTTGGGGCTGCATCCGGGCCCAGCGCCAATGTGGCATTCCGTTCTCTTTGCAGATTGAGCAGTTTGTCTACGCCTCGCCCCATGACAACAAGTCGTGGGAGATGTTTGAGGAGATGATGGCCACGGCCGAGGATTTCTACCAGTCCCTGGGCATCCCCTACCACATCGTCAACATCGTCTCGGGTAGGGACAGGCTGTCTTGCCGTGTGGCACCAGGGCCACCTCTCTGTGCTGTGGTGCCGCAGATGGACGCCAGCCACCTCTGCCAGTGCCTTGGGTGTCACGGTGGCCCTGACCCACTTCCCGGCTTGGTGTTCTTTGTCCCTGGCTCGCCTTCCCGTGGTGTTTGTTCCCAGACCTGGCGAGGGGGAGGAGGTGCCTCAGCCCCGGAGCGTGGAGGAAGGACACGTTTGGTTTTGTGCAGAGATCCTCTGGTTTGCTCTGGGTCCACCAGGACCGGGTGTGGGCTCCCTGCCATGCCTGTCCTCACAGTCCCTTCCCAGGGGACAGTTTGAGCGTCCCAACTCCTCCTGGAAACTGTCCCAGGAAAAATATCCCATTTAAATGCTCCTTTCCAGCCTCGGTGCTGCAGAGCAGGAACCCCACGTCCCTTCCCAAGTCACCTCGGGGGCTTCCCATGCTGCTGTCCCCAGGATGGGTACATTGCGGAGGGGAGCGGACCCCCCTCAACGCTGCCCTCCTCTCTCCCAGGCTCCCTCAACCACGCTGCCAGTAAGAAGCTGGACCTGGAGGCCTGGTTCCCTGGTTCTGGTGCTTTCCGCGAGCTCGTGTCCTGCTCCAACTGCACCGACTACCAGGCACGACGCCTGCGCATCCGCTATGGACAGACTAAGAAGATGATGGACAAGGTGAGGCCGAGCTGCTGGGCTGGGTGGGGAGGGGGTACTCCTGGTCATGTCCCCCCGACCTGGCCTTTCCCGTCTCATACGTCCCCCTCGCTGTGTCCCCGCTGCAGGTGGAGTTTGTGCACATGCTGAACGCCACAATGTGTGCCACCACCCGCACCATCTGCGCCATCCTGGAGAACTACCAGACCGAGGAGGGCATCTGCATCCCTGAGAAGCTCCGAGACTTCATGCCCCCAGGTAACACCCAGCACCCTCCCTTCCCCACCCAGCCTGGGTCCTGGGGGGGGCCCCCAATGCTGGGAGGGTGTGTGATGGGTGATGCCCGCTCTCCCTTCTGCCCAGACCTGCGGGAACTGATCCCGTTCGTGAAGCCGGCTCCCATCGAGCAGGAGCTCTCCAAGAAGCAGAAGAAGCAGCAGGAGGGGGGCAAGAAGAAGCCAGGGGTGGGAGGTGAGCGGGTGCTGGAGGAGCAGATGCAGAACATGGGTGTCAACAGCGCCTGAGTCCTGCCCGCACCCCCCCGCGCTCCCAGGGACCTTCGGGGCCTCCTGAATCATCACCCT